AAACTTGCACAAATCTATGCATTCTGCAAAATTTTCTGAGGAAAAAAAATCTACTTTTGTTATTTTATGCCCATACAGTGTAACCTAGATTAGCAGCACCAGAAAATAAATTTTAGTGGAAACAGAAGACTAAATCCTCTTGATTGCAAATTGTGAGATTTTTAGATGACTGACTTGATTTTCACTTGTAGAAAGTGGGTATGAGTCTGCTTAATAAAAATCCTAAAATAACAAAACGTAGTAAGCATTAGTCATAACATCCTTGTTAAATGAACAAAATTAATACCTATACTATGGAAAGAATGTGTGACCTGAGTCATTTTTAATATCGGCTCAGTGAGGAGAAGCATATTTGCAAGACATGTCATTTTGGTCTTACATACTTCATTTCTGCCTGCAGCACAGCTGAGACAGGTAACAAAAATACTTGGTACTAGAACATAGAAAGCATTGGCAGAAAGAATTCGATAAACCTCGTTCACGGTTTTGGTACTAAGTGTCTGGAGCATTTTCACCTCGTAAGCCGTTTGTAAAGGATTGTCTATGTGAAACCACCATCTGGGTGGTTTAACCAAGTTAGGCTCCTGTCTCCCCAACAGAGGTGGGACCCAGGGGCTCTATCTTCAGAGCTGGCTGGACCAGACAGTAGGTTATTCTGGCAGCCTTGACCTTCCTCACTCAGGCATGTTGGGGGGGCAGTGCGGTGTGTGGCCTTGAGCTGGTACAAGCTATGCTAGTGTTTGTTTAAGTCTTCACAGGCCAAGGTGGAGGCCTAGTCAAGAAGAGGGTCCAGGAGCCTGCCTAGAGTTTGGTCAAGGAGAGAATCGTCATTACTCCCAAATGTGAATCAGATACAGGTAATAAAACTGATTACTCAAGAGTGAAGATAAATTAGATCTGTTATTTTGCTCTGTGCCCTCTCAGTGTTCACATGTGACTGACGTGTGAACGTGTCCATGTGACTTAACAATAGTGGCTGCCATGTATTGTACACTCACAGTGTGCCCACAAAATAATAAAAGCTTCATGTACATTCTATGGTCCTTAACAGCAGTCTTGCAGTGTAGGGTTTTCTTCATGTCACGGAGAAGGACACTGAGGGAAGAGAGGTTTGTGGATTGTCCCAGGACTGCAGCTGCACAACCAGGCTTTACAGCGAGGCCTGCCTTGCTGCAGAGGGCACACAACCCATTCATCGTTGATTCAGAACGTGGTTGTAAGTGTCTGCTGCGTACAAGGTACACTCCAGGCACAGAGGATAAAAAAGGATAAGCAAATCCACAGAGGTCCCCGCCGCCTCAGGAAGCTGAGAGGCTGAGAAAGACACCAGTCAAGTCATCATGCACATATGTAACCCTGCAGCTGTCTGGGTACCAAGCAGGAACGCAGAGAAGAGCATCTTTCGTCTGGAACTCTTAAGAAGTTGTGCTAAATAGACTAAGTGTTCATTCTTGCGAATTTACTCACCAGACAAATCTTGACCTCAGTGATCGCTAAGGCTGGTTTACTAGTCAGCGATGCAATGGATATCTGCGATAGTTTTGCTCCACCAGCCTGTGTGTTCCCGTTTTGTGTTCATGTTTGTTACCTAATGATTTCAGGATGGTCAGTGCCCCTGCAATCATCACATCTGAGGTCAAAACAAGAAGGGGGGTTAACCCAGGCCTGTGTGACCCTTTTATCAGAAAAGGAGAAGCCCATGATGTCCCCCACAGGCTCATGGGCTAGAATTGTGTCATCTAGCTACTACAGCAGTAAGAAAAATGGGAAAGTCAAATAGTTAACTTTTCCAGTTCTTAGGGTAGAGGTCAGGGTTGGGTGTGGATTGGCCAAACAACAGGGTCTGCTCATCCTCGACGCAAGTGTGCACATACATATGTTACACACGCGTTAGACATACTCATCCCCACTCAGGTTAGAGTTAGGGTCAGGGAGGACACCCCCACTCTCATCCAGTTACCATGCCAAGCAGGGTCTCTGAGTGGTTTTCCACCTGCTCAATCAAGTCTGGGTGGGTAACTCGTCTGACCGTCTACGTGGCTGAAAGATGGGTGTCTCTAAACCACTGCCCTTCCACATATGTAATGAAAAAACAGTGATGCAGCAACAACTCCATTGAGAAAAGGGGGCACAAGCAAGCACTCAGAGATCTGCAGTCCGCGACCCAAATCGCATCTTACTGGACAGAAACTGCAGCTTCCTCGGCAGGCGGTCAGGTAAACTCGTTCCAGCCCGGAGGACCCACTTTGTGGCCGCCGTCTGTGTCCTTGTCTGAGGTGGGCTTTGAAGGTCTGCCCTTCCCAGGAATCCAGAGTGCTTCCCATACAATGATGCCTCAGGCTCCCTGAGGCACAGCTTTGTGAGGCAGCAAGCACCAGGCTTGAACTTGAGGTCTCTTGAGTCGGCTGTCCAGATCTGAACCTTGGTTCCTCCACTTAACTAGCTGTGATGTGGAGCCAGTCACTTAATCCCTCTGTGCCTCAACTTTCTCATCTATGAAATGAGTTAATAACTTCCAACGGGATTGTTATGAAAAATACACATAAAGCACATAGAATGCTGTCTGTCACGTAAGCATTTAATAAATGTCAGCAACTAGGATTCTGTCAATAAATGGACATGTATTTGCAAAGTCTTATACCCAAAATTTACTAGAATTAGAATGCTGGATCTTTTTTTTTTTTTAAGATATTTTTATTGGGGTATTGGGGGGGGAGGGCAATAGCGTTGGGGAATCTGGGAAGGGGAACAGACAGGTAGACAAATGGCTGTTTTGTTCTTCAGTCTAGTTGTGGAGGACGTCGCTTCACTGGCCCATGTTGGTATGATCATTGCGCGCTTCCCGGGGGAGGCAATCGGTCGCTGGTCATTGGTCAGCCACTCACAGCGGCTCCCGGTAGTTCACACCGGGTACCAGCTGCTCACGCTGGCTGCCAGCCACTTACATAGCTCACAGCAGCCCACTGCAGCCCTACTGCAGCCTACGCGGTCGCTGGCGACTCACGGCAGCGCAGCTCCAGGTAGAGCTGTTGTTCATCATCTTAGCTGTAGAGGGCAGTGTCACACCCTCATGTGGGATCTGAACCGCAGCCCTGCTGCTCAGAGCTAGTGCTCCCAAGCAAGCTCTTAACCAGCTGAGCCACTTGGCCGGTCCTGGATCATTTTTGTTTTCAAACATACATATATATCACTGATATTCCATTTTGGCACATGAATTATGTTGCCAAAGGAATGGTTTCCTCATCAAGCACATGCAAAATTCCAAGTATTGAACACATAATAAAGCTCACTTAACTTGAATGCCATTCATTTTTGTGACCCTTTGAGCCCACTGGTATACTCAGAATGAGACACCCCGAGGGATCATTTTTTTAACACCCTCTGCTCTGTGTGATAAAATTTTTAGTAATGAGCATGAAATGATACAATAATTGCCGGGAAAGAAACTGAAATTCTTTTATTCATCCACTTATACACCAATATTAACCTAAGTAGTACACTCCAAACAATGCCAACATTGAAATAATCAAGTTTCTTCATCCTTACAGTTGCTACGCTACCGCTGTGTATTAAGAATCTGCTCTTTAGGGCCAATCTTCAGGGCGTGAGGCCTTTAAGGTATTTGGAAACGAGCAGATGAGGTTTAGAGGAAGCAGAAGGGCATCTTGCCTACACCTGATTCCGGTTTTCGACACTTTCCCTAAAGAATTGCTCCAAGAGGGAGGAAGATTGTAATTTGGGTGCGTACCGTGACGTGGGACACCACGAGGGGGCAGCACAGCTGACAAGCCGTTCCTGTTTGGGGGTTCCTGATTTCATATTACCACGGAGTGGCTGCAGCTGCGTTTTCCGGGCGCTCAGAAAAACAAAAACTCTTAGAAGACACAGGTGAACGACGTTAGCATGTAATGGCCACGTAGTCTCGCCCTAGAGGGTCTTTATCTGCAGCTATTATAAAAAACAGCCCCTCTAGGAACATTGCGCCTGAGCCCAAAAATAGACTGCACAGATTGCAGGTGAACGGTTCCAAATTCTGTGCAAGTTTCCAAGTGCTTGTCGTACTCCCCTAACGAGCATGGTAACGGGGTGCTTTTCATTGGTTTTAATCAAATCTGTAGATTGCTGCCAGGCGGGGAAAACGGGGCGGGGCGGTATCGGGGCAAGTCCGCCAAGGGCGGTGACGGAGAGACAAGGGCTGAGAACCGGGGTCCCTGCCAGGCGTCCCCACTGCACAGCGAGGCGCGGCGTCTCCTCGGGGGACAGCGGGAGGTAGGTCCCGCGCCGCGGTCCTCTCCCCGCGCGCGCCCCCGCCCCGCGCGGCCGCGGTTTGAAGGGCAGCGCCTGAGGCGCGCGCGCGCACGTCGGGCACGCGGGGCCCAGGGCGCAGGCGCCAGGGCG